TCAAGACACGCATCAGTTCTCCTATTACGGGTGGAGGGATTTAGACAACCCTGTTTGCTTATGTAGCAAATCATGATCTTTCAACACTCAAAAGCCTTGCAGTCAGGATCTCCTTAGCCTCTCTTTAGATATTCTAACAAAAGTATTGGAATTTTATATTGGCATATCGAAATTCTTACCTAGACTGCAAATTCTTGAAAATTTTACGGTGAATTCAGATGTCATCAACACTTCAAGGCCTCCACTCCAGAGTTATGCATAACTTCTAAGGCACTCAAAAGTTTTCCTCCAAATAAACCGTTCCACAGCGAAACAAGCGAGTACCTTTCCACTTCCAGAATTTGCTTCTGAAGTGACGCAAACCGCCCACACTCCCCTCCCCTTGAAAGTTTTCCTACCAGAAGTGACCCTATTTTTCAGTACGAATCCTTACAAATGAGCGAACTACTACTCACAGTTCAATGTTTCAACTTCACTGGTGAGCAAAGTCCTCTAGGCTTCCCCAATTTTTACACGAAAAAAACGCGATATTCATCGTAGCATTCCATGCAGCGGGACAAGCAAACTTCATTTTACACTACAAAGGCTCTCCGAGCGAAAATCCTTCACGTGAATACAAATTTCTAAAGATACCTCTTTCTTTCACATTTGGAGTCACATAGCAAAGGTTTTCCCATCTCAAAACTAACCTCCAGAACCGAGTTGAAACCGCTTATATTCTTTTGAAGAGTTCTACCAGAATACTGCAATTTTTTTATTTCTTATTTCAGTCATGAAGTGGGATCCCTGAAGAGTTTCTGCCAGAAGTTACGCAAAAGTGCGAACGCACTTTCCAATTACTGCAGTAAGCTAAATTACCAAGTAGCGAAACGACTTTTTTTAACAATCAAAATGCATTTACGTTGCATACATAAGGACATCTTGTGAACTACTGAATAGCAATTGCTTACATACGAATTTGAATCCCATCATTGCACTGGTTTGATCAAAAGGTGTATTGCAATGTGAGGAAACTTCACTATAGGGTAATCCGTTTCAATCGTCGTATTTCTCATGGCATGAGCATCCTTCACTTGTGCCAACGTCCACGGCAATGAGCTGACTCACTTTTGACACGTTTTGAAAATCATGCGGGAAATGGCAGCTCCTATGCTGGTGATATTTCAAAGATCAGACGCATGAGGCGACATTTCTACAGTGATGTAAAAATCAAGCCTTGAACAAGCCAATTTCCTGTGATCTGTGATTAACGTAAGACTCTCTGGCATAAATCGAACCGAACGCGAGTAGCTTCTGACTTATCAAGTAACCTACGCAAATATATGGAAAGTAATCCTCAACTACACATATCCAAGCCAATGTACAAGCGCAGCATAATTGTATTGAAATTACTACGTTTAATTTAATTTCAACAGAACGTTTATGTTTGCAATGTAAGCTTGGTCTTGTACTTGTTGTAGGAACGGTTTCAAGTTGAAACTCTATACCCTGTGGAACTCAAACATGAATCTCAACAATGTTAATAACTGGAATCAACGCCACCTTTATGAGTAATGAAATACAAAGTGTCAAGGCGAACAGAACTTTTTATGAACGTATCCAATCTCATGAGCACCCTTTTCAAGAGGTCAAAAAAATAAGAAGACAAGAAAGGCTTGAATTTTGATCAAAACAGGATGCGAAGCTAGGCTGTTGCTTATGTATATCAATTCACAGTGAAATAAATATATGTCGCTTCTTTCACTCCTAGAACTCCTTGCAGTGAATACAGTACCTTTAGCACTTTAAGGCCTTCCCACCAGAAGTGAAAACCCTTTAGAGATCATTTGGTAAAGTATTTGTCCAACGAATCATATCAGTGACAAGTTTTTTGAACTTCGAGGTCTCTATCCTTCGTAATGCGATGCCCTTTGCGCACTTTGAATGTCTCCCATCATTGCCATTCTTTTCACACCTTGAGTCACACGTGATGAGTTTCCTTGTACTCCGGACTTATCCGGACTCATTTTTTCAAAAACCTCTTATAGAAGACGTTAATTAGTCTAATAAGGAATGCTATCTAACTTAGATTGGCCTTTTGGCTAGGGACATATATGTTCTGAATCAGCTTCAAACGCTAAAAATGCTATTCCTAGTTGCCGAACAAATTCCGAAGCAAGTTATAGGCTTTTTGCGCAAAATTGGCATACTATTGAACATAAGACAGCCTATAGGTAGAAATCTGCAAAAAAAAGGTGCTTATCGAATTAACATAAAATTTTCTCACTAGAAAGAAGCTTAAGGCCCCGGGCAGACTTTAAGCGATTTGATCGTCGCGACTCAGTCGCGACGAGACAACTGTTACAACATCATTCCATGCCGATCAACTTGCATTCGGTTGTGATACTTTTCCAGCCCGAAATTTTTGAATGTGAAATGAAAATGAATGGAAGTCTTGGCGATTAGATCGCGACGATTAAGTCGCGCGAAGTCTGTCCGGGGCCTAACGCATGTATATTAACACTTTGAATGTTAATGCCGTGATGCCAGTGAGTCTCATCGCGGACTCAATTTGAACAAAAAGCAGCATAATTTACCGATTCACAAAAATGGAATACCCAAGCACTTGTGATCTGCGAGTATTGGGTTTAAAGAGATCTGGAAAATGTCAGATCGCGTAGCAACTGAAATTCCGAGAGGCATGCCCAGGGCGTTAAGGAGACCGCGATCTACTCGCAGATTTTATTCTATGAGGAAAAAACGATATTGTCGCAAAGCAAAAGCCTTCAGAAGTTGTTTTGCTCCAATTTGTATGGAACCTTGCCCAACTAAAGACATCCTGTCCTGTAGCGCTCTATTTTAATACTTTATTTATTCTTTTGAGGGTAAGCTTGGAGAAACTAAGTTTCAAACTGTTACAGTAAAATCTTTTTTCGGTAAATGCCATGTTTTAAAGTGTTGCTTCATTGCACTTCATGCCAAAACTTCCAATGTGCATCGTTTTTCAACTTTCCCTGAATGAAACGGAAATTGGATATTTTTCTATAATTTTCTTCTTTTTTTACCTGAAAATAGTGCTGAAGAAACGAGCCTAATATTATGAAACATTACTGCAACAACAAACTTCTCGGTTCTAATTGCAAATGCCATCAAAACCAAAAAATCAAGGCAACGGCAAGATAACACAGAAGAATGCTGCTTAAGCTTGAAATGGATACGGTGCGCGCTCTGTAGGAATCGGCATGCTATAGTGCAAATTTTATTTTATCCACTAGGCGTCTAGCAGCGGGCTAGCTAAAGTTATCAGTTATAAGTTATCGAAACTGATCGACGAATAAAAGTAGTTAGTGCCTATAGCCGCGCCAAATGAGTTCAGGAATGATATCCACGAAAGTCCCCTCGAAATGGGCTCTTCGTGCAAAAAAATGGACTTACAATTAGTCCATGCGGTTCGATAAGATATCGCATTTGCCTATTCATTCCATACAAATTCTTCAGCAAACCTTTCTCCAACTTGCCTCAACCTGTTTACTCACTCTTGCAAACTCATTTCTACCAAGTGGTCGGTATCTAACTAGGGCTGACGTAACATTACGATGACAGTCACATGAATATTCTATGCTTTCACACTTCATTTTACATCAAAAAATGCCATTTGTTATCTATGCATAACAATGCATCAAGAACATCTTCAAAAATAGAATTCACATAATATCCGGGCCTTCGCTTCTCAAGACTTCTATGGATTTGCTTCAAGTCAAATTCGTATGTAGAGCTTTCTGGGGAAAGCAAACTTTGGCTAGACCTGCACTGCAATCTGTGATGCAAAATGCTTATCTCGCAGGAAACCTTGCCCTACAACCCAAAGGGCTCTTTGAATCAGAAAACTACGAGTCGCAAAGAATGACTTCGCAAATGTTCTACTTTAACTCTTCTTTGTCTTTCAGCATTAATGTTCATATCTCTAAGTAATTGAATGTATGGACTATTGCAAGTAGAAAATTTTTCACAAAATTTTTCTTGCTAGCTAGCTGCATTTCAGTAATTCTTGCGGCCAATCTCGAAATCGCGTTTGAAATGCCGTCTTTGAAGTTCGATTCTACGAGAACAGTCAAAGGATAGCTTCTGAGTAATTGTATTGAAACGCGGATCTTTCTTATTCTCAAATACAAATCATGAGTTTAGTTTTGGTTGATAATTTGAAGAGTTAACAAACTTTATTCGATTTACATAGGAATATTCGCATCGACCTGATATTTGGAAGCATTTGAGTTTGTTAGCGAATATTTTGGTAAATTTAACCTTCTTCCATGATTTTCATAGCGTTTGTATGAGTATAGAAAGAAACACTTAATTCAGACTCCATAAAAGACAGGAATTTTTCCATTTACTTGTTACCTAAGAATGAGCTGAGGAACACATTCTCAAAAAATCGCCATCAAAAATATGCAAAAAGGTCAAAAATGGGCTTAGTCCCAGCTCACCTTCCTGCTGGGAGTAAAATGGGCTTTCAAGTCCATTTAAAATGGAGTTAAATCCTATTTTGCCCCATTCTAAATAGACTTTTTGCATGATTCTTTCGCAAGAGAGAGCTCAAGTAGGGTTGAATCATTTTCAGCACACCGCTTTGCCTCATGGTTGCGATGAGATAAAAATTTTTGGATAACGCTAACGAAAGCAGATTTCGACCAATTTCTCCCGTGATCGAATAAAATGGGGTTTGAAAGTCCATTTTCCTCCATTATGGACTTTCGTGGATATCATTTCAGGATGTCTCGAGGCGAATGTCTCAGCGTGTGCGGCGCGGGTCCTCGCGTTCGCCTCGTTTGGGCCTTGCATGCATGAGACGTTTTTCTGCTCGTTTTGCCAGGCTTCGATGTATGCGCCACTTAGTAGCCATCACCTCTCCGTGGCTTCGCCTCTGACACCCGTAAAACACATCTTTTTTCCTTCTATAAGAAAAACCGTACTCAGCTTGACCGGTGTCATCTGTGAAGGAATGTTCGGAAATTGTAAGCAACGATCATCAGGTTTGCATTGGAATGAAAAAATACATTTACTGTAAAACATCAATCAAATGCATGCGAGTTGCTCTAGTGCATCGCCATTTTCTTGCACACATACGATCTCATTGTGTGATCACAATATATGTCATTCCACTTTCCAAATGGATCCGCATCTTCGGCACCATGATCACTGTGCACCTGAAGTGGTGCTAGCATGAGGTCTACTTGTGAATAAGAGTGAGATAGGATGAATTTTTTGGAAGAACAGTAGATGCGAAGTAGAGCTTCACCTGTGCGCAGCGTTCGTTTCCGTTTGCATTATTTGGCTCAGTCGGAGCCCACGGTAGAAAGTCAACGTTGGTGCCATCAGTCCACGTCCAATCCTTGCTTTTTGGATAATCCGCTTGCCTCAAACCAATCCAGGTCAACATTCTATGCGCGGTCCTGTTGTAACCCGTGTGTGACATCTCTATAAAAATTAGGAAGAGACTCAAAAGTTTACATGTCATTAAAAATGAAGTGAACCTACCGATTATAAAATCGTTCTCGTCATCGCTGTGGACAGATGTTAGATGCCCTCCATAACTCTCACATCGTCTCTCAGCATCGTCGAAGGTTGCCCAGAAGAAAGTCTGCAAATGTCTTCTGTGATCATCTTGTGATTATGTATCGTGCTCGGCAATTTCTGCTTTTTACCCATTCATGTATAACAGATATATGAGTTCGAGGTGTTGAGATCACTTGAATGCTGCTCCTATGCGAACCTCAAATTGATAGACCGCAAGCAGGGCATGGGAAACTTTGATGCAAAATTTATGCATAATTTTGCAATGCACTTTTTCGTCTTCATGGAGTTGACGGTCGGATCAAGCACAACACTTCCAAGCTTTCTCACTGCCGTCTCTAGCGTGTATGGAATGTGGATTCGAGTCTTCTGCCATCTATTCTGCTATTATCATATCAAACTTAATGTTTCTTCGCCAATGGGCGTAGGCCGCTAAAATGCGTACTTACAAAAACTTAGAGAAATTAACGCATTTATGTAGCAAAAACGTTGTAGTGTCAGAAAGGACTTGCTTCCTTATGTCACGCTATAGTTGGTCTAAATTAGGCGCTATAGGGGCCCGGTGTGGTTGTCTAGCGGTATGAAAAATTCCTTTCAATGAAGCGACGTCTTCCGGGCGATCGGCGTGTCCACGTCCCCTCGGCTAGCCTCTTGAGTTGATCCGACCGCACTCCTCGTGACGGCAGTGTCGACAAAAGATTTGAGCCAAGCGGGGCCGCCTTATACAGCGGGCCTAAAAGTGCAAGCGCCTCAATAGCATAGGCACAAAATAAGCAAAACACAGTAAGAACCTTTAAAACACCAAGTGAACATATAATCGACTGAAAAGGACTAGATAACAGGTAAGAACAGCAATAGAAGGATCAGAGAAGCTCTGCGACCTCACAACAGTAGTTTTTTATGTGTTGTGAAAAAAGCCTATCCGCACTTGGCTATTCGAACATTGTGGATCGCTCATATCTAGAGTTGTGGTCTTAGAAGCTGGTCGTACCACGCTCATTTCGCGGAAGTATGCCATTATCTGCAGCGGTGTTTATACATGGCGAAAGTCAGGTATCATAGATATGGCTAAGTTTTAGTTTATTGGGATCTTTGGGCACTTCATTAAGAATTTTATATCGATTTTTCACAGCGCTATTTTCCGGGCTACAGTAATGCTCGGTACGTGCGTCAAAATCATAACTTTCCCACAATTTCATACAAAGTTTTTATCATGCGGAGATTTGAGCCCAACAAGCTGCTCCTGCGAGTAATTCGTAGCTAAACACAGTGATATAATGGAAAGCTCCCTTAATCTTGGAAGAGAGACTGGTAAAACAGCGCCGGCGGGGACAAGGTTTGAAGGGCGATCTAGACTGCCGAAAACGAGACGGACAATGATAACGATCCGTACCTACAACCACGGGCCTCGCAATAGATGCATCCATGGAACATCTATTGCTGCAAGCAAAGAAGATCAAGTGCGACGTTATCGTACTGACTGATACCACCCGTTGAATGCCACGTTTGATACTGGAGAAGAACTGTTCTTGGGAACATGAGTAGGTGACGTAGTAATCGACGAGTAGGTGCAGCGGGAGTCCTTGTCAAAACGAGTTTGGCCAGAACTTCGACTCTTTCGAACAACTCACAACTCGAATCGAAAGTTTGCAAATATCAAGATGTGTATAGACGTTTGCAAATACCAAGATGTGTATTAATTCCTACCTTGATCGTCTTCAATGCGTTCACCCCCCCCCCCCCTCCCCACACAGGAATCATCGTCTCATGAATAGCATCAGTTGGGATCCTGCTCATGGTGAGATACCGCGATCGACAACATCGATGAAGAATAAGAACGATTCGTGAACAATATCTCTACGATTGTACCAAGGAAGCTCAGAATTTAAGAAGTACGAGAAGGCGTCTCAGCAGAGAGTTTGGAGCAGATACGCCAACGTGGACGCGCACGGGCCACAGGCAACTACTAATTGACGAGCTTGCGAAGGATGCAGAGAAGCGATAAAAAAGATCTCAAGGAGAGGACAGTAGCAGTAATGGCTGATACCGCAGAGGCTGGAACAAGTATACGCAACGCCCGCCAAAGCTTCGTCAACTTCAAGACAAATGACTGCACTTCGTCGTCCTGACGAAACCATAACTGCTTCCCGAAGATCAATGGAAAGGGTCATCCACGACTTCTACTCGGATCTCTTTGCGGGTCACGTCCACCTACCACCATGGCAGTGTTCAAGCAAATCCGGGGACACGGGTTTTCTGCGTGAAAAGTGATGAGAGGCTGTAGCTAAAAGCACTGCCCAAACCCTAGCACAAATGATTCATTTCCGGCTGAGAAACCATCCCAACACTCAGCGCCTGCGACTTGACCGTAATACTTAGGGTGGGTCCCAGCGCGAACGTATTAGCGTTGAAGTGAGTTTTCGGGTTACGATCACGGTGCGGCGCGGGGTTTTCGGGAACGGATTTCTCAGCCTGAGTGAACCTTTGCGTTGCCGCTTGGGCAGTGCCTTAGTTAGGAACCCCTTATCAATTTCCAAGTGAAAGATCCATGCACCCGAATATGCCTATACACTGCCTTTTAGGAGGACGAATATGTTGTGCCATCAGTTCTTCCTTTAGAGGTTCGACATGTCATGTCAATGAAAAGCCGTACAGCAGCCGGGCCCGAAAGGATCAAAGCGAAACACCTAAAAAATCTTTGACCAGTTCTTATCAGAACTCTGGCGCGGCTCTTTACGCCGTACCTGAAGGAGCGCACGATTCAAAGTCAATAGAAAACCTGCAAGACCGCGTTGCTATACAAGAAGGGAGATTCCCGCGACATCGGAAAGCCCTAGTCTGGTTGTTGTCTATTTACAGTCTAAAACTCTTCACCGAGTATTTCTTGACCAGTGCATCACCTCTGCTTCGCAAAGGCCCGCACTGGCTCCACTATCTAGGCCCTACTCATTCTCGCATAATGATGGCATTGGAACTCACCGAGCAATGCCGACTATCACGAACAAAATGTAAACAACTACTCATTCCGAAAGCTTTTTATGTGAAATCGGTGATTTCGCATGGAAGAGACTTTTTGCAGGAGAACAAACGCAAATTTTTACAGGTTTTTGATTTTCCCATGGACTTGACAGTTGCAATAAGAACGGCAGTCACCGTGTGCTAGGTCTTTGTGCAAAAATCTCGTTAAATGCTCTGTAAAACGTTGGCAAATTGACCATTTATGCAACCAATACTTTTTGGCGCCGTTTCTCTGAAGTAATACACTTTTGATCACTTTTTGGGTCTAAGTTCATGGTTTGCACTTTTACTTGGCATACATCCACTACTTTGCGAAAAGTGGAATTATGGACCCAATTACGCGGCCCAAATGCAAAGTGGATCCGTTTGACGCGCAGTTTCTGAGGGATCCACTCAACGAATCTGCTCGTGCTTTTGCATGTTGGACTTTCATGCGGGTAGCATGCGCTGTGCAAAATTTGAGCCCAGGAGGTTGGCTGGAACACTCTCTACGAATTTCGTAACAGACACACTCTCACACAGACACACAGACACACAGACACACAAAGTCACTAAACATCCTTAGCCCATTATTATAAGTTATGATAGGATCATAAGAGAATGGCCCGTAGTAAAGCTCGATCAGTTGAGGTGAACTCAACTTATTCCATCAGTTCACCTTAGGTGAGGTGAACTGATCACCGTCCACGTTCCCATGCTATAAGATGGTCAAGTCAACTGATAGTTGACTATCTGTCCACCTGCCGCAGTCAACTCTTCCACATCAGTTCACGTTCAAGTCACCTCAACGTGAACGGATGTTAGAGTGATCCAAATAGTGTGTAGAAGAGGAGACGCAGACAAGAGGTGACTGCATCTAACATAAGTTGCTCCTGAGTAACTTACAATACACACAGCTTTGCCAAAAAATGCAGAAAAAATCGGCGCGAAAGTGCACAACCGCGCCCGAAAAGGAGAGGATCGATGAACAGCTGATTTTGGCGAGGAAAAGAAAAAAACCTCTTTTTCTTTTTTGTAGATTTTACTGACTTTTTTCTTTGACAAACTGCTCAAGGCAAGAATTTGTAGATTTATTTCGTTGGATTTATGTTGCAGTTATTTCAATTTTCCATAAAATTTTCGTCAAAAAATGCGTTTTTGTGTCATCCATGTTTTTTCTAGGCGAAATCCTTGATAGCGGTCATCATCGATTTTCCGATAGTGGTCGCTGTCAAAGACGCCCTGCAATACAGCAAAAACGTGGCGCTAGCCGGTGTCGAACCATGGCCGCCCGCGTTCAATTTCAATCCCTTACCTGCTCGACCAAACCAGCTCGAGTGGTTCCCTTTTCAAGAAGTAACTTGATTGTGATGCCTCGGAAGCGATCCGCATCCAGATCAATGGCTCGCCGGATGCTGGACTGAGGCGTGATGCCGGTACGCGTCGAGAAAGATGCCCTGATGGGGGGTTTACTACGGGCCAATTAGACCAAAGACAACCATGCGAGCAAGCTTGGTTCCGGAAAGGATTTGATACGGACCACATACACATGATAACAAGGCTCATCGAAGTATCGCGAGAGTACAGGATGCTGCTCTATCTCACCTTCATCGACTTGAAGAAGGCATTTGATTCGGTTGACTCTGAGGTGTCATCGATGCCTTGAACAATCAAGGTATTCCAACTCAGTACATCAAGATTCGCTGTACAATGACTTCACAACCAAGATCATAGCATTCTACAAGGACATCACCATAGATGTGAAGAGGGGAGTACAACAGATACCACATCGTCGAAGCTTTTCAGCTCTGCTCTCGAAATCGTCACCGGCACTAGAGCGGGATCACCTTCGCTTTGCTGACGACGTAGTCCTGATTACACCGGACATCACACAAGCGAACGAATGCTGGCTCAGTTTGATGACGTGTGTAGAAAGATCGGTCTACAGCTAAATCTGACGAAGACGATGTTCATGAGAAACGGATGGGTTCCTGATGATCCTTTCACGCTAAATGGAATGACATTCGCCGAATGCTTTAGCTACGTCGACCTAGGTCGGAAAGTCAACAT